GGGGCTCGAACTCACGGAGCGCGAGATCGTGACCTGGCTGAAGTCGGACGCTTAACCGACTGCGCCACCCAGGCGCCCCGCTACTTTTCATTTTTAATGTTTATTTATTTACTTTTGAGAGAAAGACAGTGGAGAGGGAGAGAGAATCCCAAGCAGGCTTCACACTGTCAACACAGCCTGATGTGGGGCTCAAGTGGGACGCTTAACTGACTGAGCCACTCAGGTGCTCCAAGACCCTTATGTTTAGTTTGGAAGAGGGATCTGGGAGAGGCAAAGGAAACACACAACAGCTATAGGCTGGAGGATTATGACCAAAAGGGGGCGGGAGATAGAGAGCAAGCAGCAAAGTGATCAAATGAACATTTAGTTGCATAATAATGAAAGAAAGAGCTGGTATTGAGTATTCTTTTTTAATTTAAAAAATGATACATATTCATCTTATTCTTACCAGAATAATAAAAGACAAAAGTTGGAATAAGAAAGGTTTCTTTTAGTAAGGAAAGTCACCATGTGCTTGGGCTGGGGTGTGGGAAGAAGAAAAGTCCTCTTTGCCTTTCACCTGGGGGCGGGCGTTCCTATAGGAACAAAAGATTTGCTTTTCCAGACCATAAGGGTTTATTCCTATTTTTCAGAATGTTTAACCTTTGAAAATCTTTGAATAGTATTAAATACATTTATAGGCTGGAGGAGAAAAATATGCATCTACAAAACAACAAACAAACAAACCCAACCAGCTAAAAGGTACACAGTATTAAATCTCCATTTTGGGACGCCTGGGTGGCTCAGTCCGTTGGGTGTCTGACTTTGACTCGGGTCATGATCTCACAGCTCGTTGAGTTCGAGCCCCGTGTAGGGCTCTGTGCCGACAGCTCAGAGCCTGGAGCCTGTTTTGGATTCGGTGTCTCCCTCTCTCTCTGCCCCTCCCCTGCTTGCACTCTGTCTCTCTCTCAAAAATAAACATTAAAAAAAAAAAAAGAGATCTCCATTTCAAAGAGTAGATTGAAAGATAACATACCTGACTTGTCAGCTGCAGTCAGTTGGACTTACTGCCTCCATTTGCACATTTAAAAGATAAGTGAGAGTATATGATATTGCAAACCTTGTTTCAGGCCACAGAGAAGATGCAAAAAGAAAGTAGTTCTCACATGGTCCGCAACCTTTAGATTTGAAAGACATGCACAAAGTAAGCCTAGTAAAAAGGAATGTGTGTTGAAGCACCTTGGTGGCTCAGTCGGTGAAGTGTCCTTGATCTTGATCTTGGCTCAGGTCATGATCTCATGGGTCACGGATTCCGGCCCCGCTTTGGGCTTTGCACAGAATGGAGCCTGCTTGCAATTCTGTCTTCCTCTCTCTCTGCCCCTCCTGCACTTGCGTTCCCTCAAAAATAAATGAATAAACTTTAAAAAAAGGTAAAAGGTAATGCATGTTGTCATCAGACTGGTTTTATAGAACTTTATTCCTCCTATATTATAGTGCTTCTCAACATAGTTTTGAAATTACTTTTCCACTTTATAAATTTTGAACTGAAGGCAAGGACCATGTCTCATTCCTCTCTGTAGCCTATGGGCCTAGATTAGTGGGAAACACACAAGGAGGGGCTCAAGAACTGTTGTGTAATCAATGAAACAAATAAATTGAGGAGTAAATGAAGAAAGTGGCTACCCGATTTGGAGGGAGGGGTCATGTCTGGCTGGGATGACCAGGCAAGGGAAAGTCATGTAAGCTGGGTCTTAAAGGATTTAAAGGTGAGATATGGACAAAGGGGGTGTGGGCAGAAGGGGTGGGAAATAGGCAGAAGAAATACAGAGGTGAAAGAGAGCTCCGAAGTCCGATTTTAATGGAACCTCCCAGTACATGAAGGAATTTCATCTCTCGTGATGCTGATGGGCAGTTAAGCTCCTCATGAAGCACCCTCTTTGGTTTCTTAGCTAGTCTAGTTCACTTTGGGCCATCTGCCCTAGAACTAGTTTCGAATCCTACATAAATAATTTCAAAATATTAAAGATTATGTAAAATCACCTAGTTTGTAGGAAGTCAGTTTTTTTCTATGATAGGTACTTTTTCCAGTATTTGCTGATTGTATAATTTAGTAAAATTCAATAATGAGGTTTTGGTATGGCCATAACACCTGGTCAACTACATATAAGATTTAAAAAAAATTGTGGTTAAAATACACACTGTAGTTAAAATCTACCACTTTAATAACTTCTAAGTGTATAGTTTAATGACATTATGTACATTCATTATGTATGATGGTGGGGACATTGCATACATCCCCACCAATCCATCCACAAAACTCTTTGCAGCCACGATTTTTAAAACTTAAAAATATAAAATATCACTACATGCAAAAATAGATACATTTTTCACAAACCTATGTACATTTTAAACATGTGACAAAATTCAGATTGGATCTTAAACTTAGTTACTACCTAACCTTTGGGGCTTAGTATTTAATGGTGATTAGACACACCATTCGCCTCACACGTCAAGGTCTAAGATCAATATAAGAACCTATACATTTCTTTCTTAAAAAGAAGTAATTCAAAGTCCTGACAATTCAATTTTACAAACCCAGAAAAAAGAGATTTCTGACAGTATGAAAAACTAGATCTCCTTTCACCAGATAAATCCTATGGGAAATATAACAGGTGGTGAAGGATCAAACTTTAGCCACCACGGTAGCACTCACATCTTACCTGTGGGAACCACCCTTGCCAGAAGAAATGGTTTTGGTTCATCTGGTGGTTCTACTTAATGGGGAAGGTAAGAAGCAGTGGTGTTTCCCAATCTCCTGCTAGGGCCCCAATAATTAAAAAGAAGCACAAAGTGGAATCAGAACCCAGGGTTTCAGGATCCAAGCCCAGTTTGAGGAGAAATATCTTCTCCAAAATTATAATCTTCTATACCTTTATATAATGGCTTCTTCAGTTCAGACTTTTTTTTTTTTTTAACGTTTATTTATTTTTGAGAGACAGAGACAGACAGAGCATGAGTGGAGAGGAACAGAGAGAGGGAGACACAGAATCTGAAGCAGGTTCCAGGCTCTGAGATGTCATCACAGAGCCCGACACAGGGCTCGAAGCCACGAACTGTGAGATCACGACCTGAGCCGAAGTCAGATGCTTAATTGACTGGGTGTCCACCTGGGTGCCCCTAGTTCAGACTCTTAATCGGAACATTTCTTTTTTTTTTTTTCAATATATGAAGTTTATTGTCAAATTGGTTTCCATACAACACCCAGTGCTCATCCCAAAAGGTGCCCTCCTCAATACCCATCACCCACCCTCCCTTCCCTCCCACCCCCCATCAACCCTCAGTTTTAATCGGAACATTTCTTTCTCTCGGATGCTGCTCCCTGCAGCAGATTTGGTTTTGAAGCTACTTCTGGAGCAGCTGCCGAAGCTTGGGGAATAGTTTCAATGCATTCTGTGTTGTCACTTCTATAACTTCTTCCACTGAGATCCCCTTCACCTGGGCAATATATTCTGCTGAAATGGAAATGTTTTGGGGTTCATTTCGTACCTGAAACAGAACAAAGCAGACAGCGAATCAGACATGACACTCAAGGGAAGCAATCTTAGAGACCATAGATAGAGCAGAACAAAGTGAGTTGGTAAAAGCCAGTGAGGTTGTTTTTTT